CCAACCCACCCACCCCTGCAGGTGCCAACTTCCTTTTCTCTCAGAGACCAGAGGAGTGAGGCCTGCAAGCCCCGCACAGGTGCTCCCCACCCGCAGGATGCTGGGCACGGCCTCCTCCCCTCCCAGCACTGCTGAGCCCTGTCTGGGCCACACCTGAGGGAGGGGCTGGGATGCCCTGCCCACCCTCCCCAAGCCCCACGTGGCTAAGGGCTCCTCTCTGAGAAGCCTCCGGGTTCTGGCAGAGTTGACATGAAAGGGAGTGAGGGCAGGAGAGAGGTGCCGGCCTCCCTTTCATCCCTAACTGCACGAAGCTCTCGGCTGCCGGTCCCCAGCTGGCCGCACGCTCCATCAGACCTGTGCTCTGCGGGCGCCAGGCCTTCTGTGCCCGTGTTAGCTGTGCTCCTACCGGGCAGGGACCTGGGAAGCAGAGCCCTCCAGGCCTGGTGGGCCCCTGGTCTCCCTGTTAATCCCTGACAGGGGCCGGGGCAGGTTTAGATGAGGAGCCCAGACCTGGTAAGCGTGCTGCCTTATCCCCGCCATCCGGGTTCTCTGATAGCGGTCAGAGACACTGCCCTCCCAGCCCCCTGTCCACCAATGGGGAGAGCGCTTTCTCCCTGTGAGGACCATGATGTGAGTCACGCACACCCCCTCCGTGAGCTTCCTAAGTGCCCCACGCTGCTGTGCTTGGTGCTTCACACATGCCAGCACACAGAAGCCTCAGAAAGACTCTGGGAGGTGGTTATTCTCCAGAGTATCCCCACGTTATAGACGAGGAAACAGACAGGGAGAAGCTAAATACCTCCCCCCGGGTCACACAGCTGGAACTCAAATCCAGGCTGACCGAAGAGCCCACGCCCTGAACCATGTTATGCTACGCTCACAGCACACACCAGTCACCTCCTCCGGGCAGCCTCCCTGGCCCTCTTCCTGAGGGTCCTCAGTGCCCTGTGCCACTTCCGTTAGAGCTCACATTCCTACTGGCTCTAATTACGTGGCCTGGGAGTGAGGCTGCCTGGGTTTGACTCCTGGCTCCATTCGCTGGGTGACGCTGGGGGAAGTTGCATTGCTTAACCTCTCAGTGCCTCAACTCCCTCACCTGGGCCAACGAGACCCAGGGCTGTGAGCACAGGAAGTGGACCTGAGCTGCCAGCACTGCCTGGTCCCGGGCAGAGGAGGACTCGGTGCACAGTGCTCATTGCTTGGAACTCTGCTGACCACTTCCCACGGTCAGTCAGGAGCTGACATCCCAGAGAGGCCTGGGCAGGTATCCCCTGCCCACCAGTCCCCACATGGCGGGGGGCCGTCCCCCCACTTAATCCCCCCACCAGCGCCAGTCCCAACAAGCAGAAAGGGACTCACTTGGAGACCAGCGAGAAGGCCTCGGAGCAGATGGCAGGACAGGGGACAAACTTGATGAGGATGTGGCCCAGGGCCGCAGGGAAGTGGGCACGTGTGACCTTCTCCAGCACGGAGCTGAACGTGTGGATGTCGGCTGCCTTGCAGGAGGGGTCCCCCGAGCCCGTGTCCAGGACGTTCCCCCCGTGCAGCACCAGCAGGAGCACTTGAGTCTTGCAGGAGCGCTGGGAGAAGACTTCCTGGAAGGGACATCGGTGGGGACAGAGAGACAGGCAGCAGGGAGACAGGGAGGGGTAACACACTGAATCACATACACACACACACACACACACACACACACACACACACACACCCGGGGGGCAGGGGGGACCACCTACAGCCAGAGAAGCAGGCACTGTGCCTAGCCTGTCTCAGCTCCAAGTCAGGGACTTCTCCTGCCCCCATATGATGAGGGGCACAGGCTGCCAGGAGGGCAAGCCCCTCAATGTCTGGGTCGGAAGGATCCCAGGAGGCCCTTCTTGTTCATATGAGAGCCACAAGCCCAGAGCAGGAGGGGATGCTGCCCAGGGTCGCACAGCAAGCCAATGACCCGGATGGAAACTAGGCAGCCTGTCCAGCAGGGCTCTGCCTTACATCCTGAGCACAGAGGTGGGCCCCGACAGCCTCGGAAACCCGCCTACCTCACTGTCTTCGTGGATCTCAATGCTTCCTTGGGCCGGGAACTTCTGTCTTCTCAAGGAGACCCGGTACAGCTCTCCTAAGGGGAGCAGAGCAGAGCTCAGCTGGCAGGAGGCGTGGGCCCACCGGCCGTGGAGCGATAGCGTCGGAGCTAGGGCGTCACCCTGCTCAGCCCTGGCCTCCAAACCAAACACCACGTGAAACCCTTTCTCCTCCTATAAAGCGGAAGCCCAGCAGGATGAGGCCGTGTCACGTGCTGTCCCAGGGCCAGCAGGGCCACCCTAGGAAGGAGCTACCCTGCTCTTTCCTTCACTAACAGCAACAGCAACAGTGTAAGGGTCGTCCGATGGCTTCCACTTCCTGTATTAGACAGAAATATGGGCCGAGCATCCTTCTGGAAACAACCACAGCCCGGCCAGCATGGCTCAGTGGTGGTTGAACGAGGTCATGGTTCAATTCCCAGCCGGGGCACATGCCCGGGTTGTGAGCTCCATTCCCAGTGTGGGGCATGCAGGAGGCAGCCGATCAAGGATTCACTCTCATCATTGATATTTCTCTCTCTCTCTCTCCCTTTCTTTCTGAAATCAATTTTAAAAAACATATATATATGCATATATAAATATAAACGGACCACAGTTGCTGGATTTTAAAAAACTAATTATGTTTGAAGCTGTCAGAGGCCTTGAATTATGGGAACCCCTGCAGGGGAAGATGGCTCCTCAGAGAGACAAGGCCAGCATTGAGGGCCACACTCATGGCCACTCTTCCCCTCCAGCTGTGGGGGAAGCCAGCGCTGCCAGAAATGTTCTCCTCGCTCCCCTCAGTTGCCTGGCTCAACGCCCCCAGCTTCAGGAAGTGCTTCTTGGCAGCCAACCCTCCCTGCTCTCTCTTTCCTCCAACACAGACACTACACTCCTGGGCCAAATCTGGCCCATTGCCGGTGTTTATAAATAAAGTTTTATTGGAACAGAGCCATGCCCATTCATCTGCGTATTATCTGTGGCTGCTTCTGTGCCACAGAGACTTTACAGCCCGCAAAGCCTAAAATATTTACTGTCTGGCCCTTTAAAGGAAAGTTTGCTGACCCCTGATCTAATGCCTGAATATCACTGCTTTGGACTCTCAGGTGCAGAGAGACCTCAAAGACATCCAGCAGCCCCCTCGCTGCCTACGATGATGCGGCCACCACGAGAAAGTGAGTCCTTCCTTCCGTCCAGCTGGTCCCTCTCCCCTTGAGACGGATACTACTTTCTCTGTGTGGCTGAGCCTCGCAGCTAGACTGTGAACCACTTGCTTGCCTTCAATGACAGGGAGCTCATCTCTTAAAGCAGCCGGTTCTAGACAAGGGTGGCCCTTTCCTTCTTCTCTCTTTCCCCCCACCCCAGCCGAGAGCCTGCTGCACCCTCCCAGGAAGCACATTTGGGGAGGGTCCTTCCCAGGGGCTTTGCAGGCAACCCTGGCAGGTGGGCTGGTGTGGGTGGGAGCCCAGCCAACAGCCAACGTGTGTCTGTGTCATCATCTCCTCAGCCACTACTGGCCCCGGGGGAGGGTGCATCTGCCAGGAATTCCAAACGAGAAGCTTTGCTCAGCAGGGAAGTGCATTTTTGAAATCGTCTGTCCTCGCAGACACAACCCTGGTCTAAGGGCAACTGCTTTATGAGCTCAGAGCTGCTGCCCACACAGACAGGAAATCATTTTGTAAATGATGGAGGGCTCTGGCTTGGAGGAGGAAGAGGAAAAACTTGTTCTGAGGCCTGGCTCTGCCCAGCACTTCCTAATGCTCCTTCCAGGGGCTCCGACTCTCCTGCCTTATTTCTAACATCCTATACCTTGCCCTGGACCTGGCCAGAGGACACCTGGGCCCTGCCCTCGGGACAGCGTCAAAATAAACGACAGCAGTAGATGGTTCTGTTTTACTGAGGACGGATGTCCCAGGCACTGTGTGCTATACAGGGATCATCTCGTTAGTCCCCACAAGTAACCTCTGGGTTTTGGTCCTGTTAGTACCCCATTTTACAGATGAGAAAACTGAGGCTCAAGCAACCTAAGTCATTCACCCCTGGCCACACAACTGAGAAGACTGAGTGAGCTGGCACATGAACCCAGCTAAGACTGCCCCACACTCAACAGAGGACAATGCTTGACAAAGTGCTCCCTCATCCGTCTGACATCCACGGCTTCCGGGGGAGGTGAACAAGAAAATCCTCATTCTGCAGAAGAAATAGGAGCACAAATCCATAAGTGATTCCCCGGAGACGGAAGCCCAGTTTGCCCTGGGGGACCAGTTCACCAGCAAGAGAAAGCGGCCAGGAGGGAAGCCGGGTGTGGCTTTGTGTGTGCAGCCTCGTGTGCCGCTGAAGGGCAGGTGGACCGGGAGAAGCCAGGAGCCGGCAGGGCTGAGTCCGTGGGTATGGAGCCTGGGAGGGCCCTGATCTGGGCCTGGGAAGGACCCTTGGGAAACCATGGACTTTGGAGCCAGAACACCTGAGTTCAAATCTTGGCTCTTACCAGCTGTGTTATCTGCACCTGTTTTCTCATCTGGAATATGGGGATAATCATGGCAGTGACCTCCTAGAATGGTGATGAGGATAAACGAGTTCATGTACAGAAAAGGCTTAGAATGGGAACTGGAACATAGTAAATTCTATGTAAGTGATTATTATTATTATCATTATTATTACTATTATCACCCAGGGTGCATTGGGGGGCTTAGGACTACAGCTGATAAGATAGGGCCAACCCTGGCTGGTATGGCTCAGTTGGTTGAGCGTTGTCTCATTCACTGAGAGGTTGCTGGCTCAATTCCAGGTCAGGGCACCTGCCCAGGTTTGGGGCTCAATCCCCAGTAGGGGGTGTTAGGAGACAGCCAATCCATGTGTCTCTCATCAATATTTTTCTCTTCCCACTCTCCCTTCCTCCCTCTTTAAAAGCAATAAAAGCATATTTAAAAAATAAATAAAAAAGATGGGGCCAGAGGCTGATGGGGACATTGCCGCCCCCGCACTCTCCTGCCTGTCCCCAAGTCCTCCCTGAGCCCTGGCAGGCTCCAGGCCTCGCTGGGCTGGGTGCCTACTTGCACTGGGGAGCCTGCGTGCAGTGTGATTACAGGATAAATACTGTGATTGCCGCAAATTACCACAGCAAGGCTATAAATAAGTCGCAGGGAAGACATGAGGGTCCTGCCATTCGCGGGCACCATGCCCCCCCCATTAGGTGGGGGCTGCATCCTGCACCCTCACTGATTACACAGACGGGGGAGCACCCACCTCCTTGATCTGCCTGGCTCATTGCTGCGAGGCCCAGCTCCCCGGGGGCCCACGCGATGTTCTGGGCATCAAATCAGGGGACAAGCGCTGTATCCTGGCTGCAAACTCTGCTGAGGCAGTTCCTGGCTCGGTGGGGATGGGAGGCCGGCAGGTGGTCCCAGCCCATCAGGTCTTGGCTCTGACCCCTAGAGAGTCGACTACCAGGACCAGAGTCGCCCCACTGAAAGGTGCGTCCCCGCCTTCGCAGAAGCCTCTGCAGACAAGCAGAAAGGCTGCCTGGGGGCCCCCTGCCTGTTCCTCGCCCACAAGGGCTCTCTCTGCTCTTCCAAGAACCAGACATCCCACCACAGTAACGGCGGCCAGCGGCTCCGACTCACCCACAAGACATCACTCTTTCCCTTGCCTGCCCCGAGCCCTCCGCCTGGTAAGCCCTGCCTCCCTTTGCAGACTGCAAATTCTCACCTGTCCTCAGAACCCTGCTCAGCCGCCACCGCCTCTGGAAAGCCTTCTCAGATCTACCACAGCAGACATGGCTGCCCCGGGCATAGGGAGTGGGCCAGGCTCATTGCTGCGAGGTCACCCGTCTATTTCCCCCTCAGACCGTGGCCCCAAGACGGGGTGTAGCAGCTGTCAGGGCTCAGTGTGGCGTTTCTGTGAAAACTCATTACAAGTGAGGATCCAGGGCGCACACCGCCTGTGAGGCAGCTCTGGGCTGTCGAGCCCCAGGAGAAATTGGTTCAGGGCAACATCGCCCACTGGGAAGACATTTCTTAAAAGCCCCGAGGGGCACCGCACTGGGAGCCTCTGGCAATTCTAGAACAGCCGGCCCGGGCTTGTGGCGCCGCATCTAGAGGCTGCCCCAGAGCCTCTGGTGACCAGATCTGCTGGCCGGGTCCTGGGCGGTGGGAGCCACATGCCGGCGGTGGGCCACGTCCTGTGCATGTCTGTCTGCTTGTTCCTATTCAGGCTGGTCCCTGTGTGCTCTGATA